CAGAAGGGTCACTCAGACATGGAAGGGTCACTCAGACATGGAAGGGTCACTCAGGTCCGGAGGGGTCACTCAGACATGGAAGGGTCACTCAGACATGGAAGGGTCACTCAGGTCCGGAGGGGTCAGTCAGACATGGAAGGGTCACTCAGACATGGAAGGGTCACTCAGACATGGAAGGGTCACTCAGGCCCAGAGAGGTCACTCAGACCTTAAGGGGTCACTCAGGCCAAGCCCCCAGCCCCACCATGCCCACCCCACTCCCTGCAGAAGCCAGCCCAGAGTCCGGCCACAGGCACCGGTGCTCCCCTGGGGATTGGGGTCAGCCAACACCAGCAGGCTCCAAAATGAGCCCGGAGACACCGACCCCGACAGCCCCGAGCTCTGGACAGCACTGATGGATCTCCCAATGGATCTCCCGATGGATCTCCCAATGGATCTCCTGATGGATCTCCCGATGGACCCGGCTCAGCGGAGCCGGGCCAGCCCCCCAGCCCAGTCCTCACCCCACAGCAGCACCGCTCACCCCAAACCCGGGAAATGGGGAGAAATTCCCAGGAAACGCTCCCAGCCCAGCCCCACAACCCGTCCCTCACCTTGTTCTTGAAGTAGGGGTAGTTGTCCATGATCCACTGGTAGATGTCGGACAGCAGCAGCTTCTTCTCGGGGGACGAGAGGATGGCGGTGGAGATGAGGGCGATGTAGGACTGCGCCGGTTTGTCCCCGGGCCCCGGGGGGCTCCGGGCTGGGGGCTCCGGGCTGGGGGCGGCCCCGGCCCCCCGGCCCCCCAGCAGGTACTCGATGGTGAAGGAGGCTCCGGGCGGGCGCCGGGGCGCAGCTGCCGTGTCCCCACCCGTGTCCCCACCCGTGTCCCCACTCGTGTCCCCCGCGTCCCCCATGGTGCAGGTGCTGCCGGCAAGTGCCGGCGCTCATGGCCCGGTAATTAGTGCAGATTACAGGGTTTGCTAATTGTGTTTTCACAAACGCGCTGCCCCCAAAGCGGGCTGTTTATCTGGCAAAGCCTCGGCTTTAACGGGATTTGGGCCCTTAAGCCTCATAAATAAAATGATTAATCCGCTGGAGGTGGAGGAATTCAAAGTGGCACCGAGGAGGTGCCCGTGGGGACAGGGCTGGGGGGTGCCCGGGGGTCTGGCTGCCCCCCAAAACCCGGGGGAGAACCTGGAGGGGGTTGGGGGTGCCCCACAACCTTCCAGGCTCTGTTTGGGGTGACCCTGGAGACCCTGGGAGATCTTGGGATGTCCAGGGAAATCCTGGGATTGGCCCAGGATGCTCCTGCCGTGCGTGGAAAGGTCCTGGTCTCGTT